TTGGCATCATCAAACTGATTCATGTCTTGCTCTCAGATGTCAATTGACTTCTTGTAATCAATAAAGTCTTAAATTGTTCTTGTGTCATGCATAAATGAAACAGGAAAATAATGTACTTTCGTCCATAAAATACACTAATCCATCACAATGTTTTCCTACTTGTAAAACCAACACTGACTCGAGCCAAAAGTGACATAAACATATGAAACCAGTGGGAACGAGTGCCCCAGCATGTGTCATTTCACGCGCCATTACTTTGCCGTATCACTCACCAGAGTGAGCACTAAGTCTAATTGCCTCGACAGGCTGTTGGTTTCTATTATTATAGGATTGTGTTGCCATTGCCATTTTGACCACACGCAATGCCATAATTTGTTCAGTCAGTTTTTTGAAACTTAAGAGGAACTATAGTCCATGCTTCTCTGCCCCCTTTTCAGACCCCCTTCTTCCTCAATCCCTCCTTAGGCAGCAACTGTTGAAGCTTCCAGTAATCAGTCTGTCGTGTTGGCTTGGATTACATGTCAGAAGGACTTTAGTGGCTCTTGAGGAAAATGCACAGACCCTCTCAATCCTGAGGGCAATATACAAAAGAATCCAGGGCATTGGCCTATAAGGAGCGCTGGAGGTGTTAAATAGCCTACTTTATATGAATAAGTTATTACAAAATGAATAATCACAAGAAAAAGTGTAACATATGAACCGAAAACATGTAGCCTATATCATTTATGAAATCATTAGAACATATCATTTTGAAATCTTTAATTTCATCCTTCTAGGATAATTGAACTTGTGTTTACTGCATTATATAAATATTATTTTCTTTTTCATAGAAAACCCTATTTAAAGGGGACCTATCATGCAAAATGCACTTTTGTACGTCTTGTGTCCCCGGTGTTCCAGGGAACTCACCAAGTGTCCGAAAACACAACCCTCTCTATTTTCCTCCATACCCAAATCTCTTAAAAAGGGGCTGCAACGGATCTGATACAGACTGATCCAGATTTGAACACTTCTATGACGTCACAGAAGTGGCGCTACGGCTATTGGGCCAACTCCACCAATCAGGAGGAGACAGCCACGGACATTGCCGTTCGAAAGCGCTGGAGACGCTGTAGTACATATGCCAGGCCTGTAGATGGTGCTGTTCTCACAGAATCAGCCCATGCAAAGACAGTGTTAAATTGAGCTAAATGAGGAATGGCTAAAATTCATGATCTGTTTGGTATTTTGAAAAATAAAAAGTATAAATATGCCTTATATAGGTATGATCCTACACTATATTATTCAAATATAGCATGATAGGTCCAATTTAATGTAACTTTGTTTTTATAATGACACATTTATATTTATTAGTGAATTTATATTATATATTGTCCTACCTTATCAAGATGAAACATGCTGCAGTACAGCTACAGTACATGGTTAACTATAGACTATTTGTTACCATGGATTATTTACTCTACATCAATATGAAGAGTTAGTGTTAGCAGCAGGCTAAGTCAGGAATACTTCCCAAGCATTTTGATTTTAAAGCTGTTTCTTGTAGTTTAAAGATTTAAATGTGAAGAGTTAAAGATTTAAAAATTGAAACTGACACACATACAGTTTTTGTAGGTGCTCAAGCCAAAAGGAGCTAGCTAACAATGCTAACATGGACTCTTCACTTAATGCTAAGGAATAATCCAGGCTCACCACCTAGTTCAGCTATAGTTGCTGTGTTGGTAGCATGTTTAGCCTGATTAAGCTCAATGAGGAGAGGTACATTACTATGCTTAGTGTTATGTGTTTATTTAGAGAAGCAGTCTAGTTAGTTGATGGAGAATAATGTGAACATTGTAGTTGTTATGGCTAAAAGAAGCTAATTGGCTAATTATGGAGGGCAGTTGCATTTGCTAGTTTAAAGAGGCAGGGGGTAAAAAAAGAAGAGAAAGAAAGAGATGATTTATTTATCTAATGGTTGTGTGTGTTAAGATTGAGTTTATGCTCCTGAAGACGCAACTGCATGCACTTTAATACAGTGTGTGCATTGTTAGATCAACACAGGGCATAAGTGGAGTCAAGAGCTTTATTATTGGTTTAACTTGTCTGATGTAGGAGTTTTGCAAATTCACATTAAGTATAGTACATATGTATTAGTATACACGGAACATTCATTATTGTACAATTCAATCCTGATGCACTGTCTGACTTGCTTCTTGAGCTACATTACCAGGGCTTTTTAAAAACACTATCCTCCAAACAGTCTTTAGTTCCCTGCATCTTCCCTTTAACCCATGCAGCAGGACTGCTTTGTTACTCTCAAGTGCAAAATCATGTTGTGTCACCTTCAGTTGGTTTTATCTGTACACACAATTCAATGTCTGGTCACTAAATACATCTCTCAAATCTTTGAAACAAAACAAATACTGTCCAAGGAAAATAAGATTTATCTTCAGTCACAGTTCACATCTCTGAAGACAGTGTTGAGTTATTGTACAATAAAAAAAAGGCTTTGTGGGAAGGTGGTTCTGTAGTAATGGCTAATAAAGTATATGTCTGTCAAATTTCCGATCATTACTGATTATCTGCCAGAATTATATTTAATTTTGTGTGTCCGTCTGAATTTACATCGATAAGGCTGTAGTGGTATTGTTCTTTTCATGTTACTCTCAGAATGAAATCTAAATGGCATGTTTTCCAAAATGTCAAACTGCAAAATGATGGACTTTCTTTACATTGCACTCAAATCACAAGAGTATTAAAATGTTGTATTGAGTTTGGTTGCTGGCAGTATTTTTTTCCAAATTGACGATTAAAGCTTTTAAAGTTCTGATTCGTCCTATAGCGACATTTTAATATTATGTGTTCCATATTCATGACCAGTCTTAATGACACACTGCTTTCACACATCTGATAGTGAATAATTATATTTAAAAGTACCTCGCAAAGGCTCACCTACCTTCCTGTTGCCCTTCTTGACCTTTCTTATAGGACAGCATTGATATTGTAACAACGTCCCATTCACATAGATATTGTACAGTACAGCCTTCCAGGCTTTAACTAAAATAAAAACTAGAAAAAAGACAAATTATTTACAAGTTAAAAAAACGACAACTGAAGTAAATCATACTTACAAAAACGGCTATAAACAACAAATGTACAACATCAGCGGACACCTGAAATATTTTGCCAGGCACTTGTGATGCGAAAAATACATAATGACACGTTTAATTACTAAAATATAGGACAATAAGAGAATCATAATACCATTTACAGTTATTATGGGTATTAAAATACAACAACCCATAGAGAGTAGAGTGAGAATACCTTCATTTAATGTGACAGCATGACGATTAGTATGCTAGTGGTTAGTAACAATATACAATCTGTACCTGAAAGTAACAGATGGAGTCGGTGATATAGGTAAGATTACAGTAAGCTATCTGCTCCTTTAAATATTTTACCTCAAAATAAAAAATAAATGCTAGGTGCTCGGGGTCCTCAGTAAGATTTGACAAATTCAAACCAAATCAACACAACATGCTTATACTTAAACAAGCTGATTTATACAAATGCAGATCCCTGGGTTTCAGCTTTACATTTAAGTAATCCAGAACTCTTTCCCTTTCCCTCCGTCGGATCATCCCACTTCCTTTGACGTATGTCTCCACTGACGTGCCTTTTATCCAGAGGTCATTGTCCCAAACAATAAAGAAACAAGACACCTGTAGGAGCCAAAATGCTTGTTTTGCCATTACTTATTATTTGTATTATTATCTCCATTTCTGTTTGCATCGCGTTTGATCCTTATTGTTTATCACTTCCGGCTATGGTCACGTGGGTGTGGTTTATTGTTATTTAGGTCACCTGTTGGATGCCGGTTTGGGACGATATGATGAAGGAAGAGGGTGAATGGCGCTCTTTCTGTTAACCGTCAAGTCGGGAGTTGTACATCGTTTGTTTATGTTTTATTAAACACTATGGACTATGAATGACTTCGGACTCTTATATGGAACGCGTCACAGCAAAGCGAACATGTTAGCCTCTCAGCGGCATAACTCATAGGGAGTTTGTGCCGCTATAACACCCTTGTTCTTTTTTTTCTCTGGATCGTTTCCATCTCTAATTTAGCTGTTTGAAAGATTGTCAGTCTCAAGAATCAGTGCTTTGGATAAACACAGTATCTGTTGAGAGTGCAATAATAGGTGTCATATTGATGCAGTTCTACAATCATTCTAGATACCCTGAGAAACTAAGCAAAACATATAGAAAACCCTGGTTTTTTGTTTTGAATCCTGATTGTTTCTCTTGAAACTTATTCACCAGCTGACATAAGTTGCTTGTTTCTGCATGCTGTTTACTGTTAGGTAGCATCTATCATACATGTTGCAAATGATATGGATTTAAAGGTCCCATGTCATGCTTTTCCAGTTGTTACCCATCCCCTTGTGTGTTATGAAGGTTTTTCTGCATGTAAACAGTCTGCAGAGTCACAAACCCTCAAAGTACACCCTGTAGCGAGTAAACTCTAACACGAAAATAACCTATCTATGTGCCAGAAGGCCTCGTTGGAGTTTCTCGTTTTTCCAATTTTCTTCTTCCGGCGAACCAGTGACGTAACGGACCCTCCGGGTGAGTTGGCAACGATTGGATCAATCCCGTGGAGCCGTTACGTTACGTGCGTGGACAAAAAGCGGTTAGCGGTTAACGTCGGGGTGTCCAAAGGTTGACAATCAACGTGACTTCCTCACACACACACACAATTCTTTTCTCAGCTGCAGCTCCGCCCGATTTCTCCTCCCTGAGACGGGTGGCGACCGGCGGGCTTGCGGGTGTGTGTGTGTGTGTTCGGGATGGTTTCGCTTTGTCTCGCAGACGGCCACTGGGCTCATAGGGAGGGGGGGCAGGGGCTCCAAACATAGCCATTTAGGACAGAGAGTGAATACACATACTATACAGAGATGCTGTATGAGAAACCAATGTGAGTTTGGAAAATTGCACAATATAAATCTATTTTAGTAGACCTCAACAATGGAATTATAATCAGTAGAAATGGCCATGACATGGGACCTTTAAGACATTTTTAAGACCGATTCACCTTATATTGGTTATTAATAATAACATTAAACAATACGTGCTTCCCTCATGAGTGTTGCATACATTACATGGCAGGATCTGAGAAGAATGTAAATGTTTATGGGACCTTTGAGTGTGTTTGAATCGTGCATGCATGGTTACATATTGTAGGTCTATGTGTGTGTATACGTACAGTATGTGTGCGTGTCTGCCTTTATACATACAGTTACATAGTTGCTCATTTTCTTTTCAGTCTGAAGGAGTCTGTGTTGGAGCTCCTGTGCTATGCAGATTGGCCTGAGCACATAGAATAGTGTCTCATGTTGCCTCGCTCAATGACCTGCCCCCCAGACCACCTAGTTGGCAAAGTCCAGCCTTCAGTTCTCAGAGCGCTTGTCGGGTACAAAGAAGAGTCTGCAGAAACCACTTAGTCCAGATTAATTCCTCGCAGCTCAATGTCTTAAATCTTTGCAGAAGGAGAACAGTTTCATTTGAAAAGCATCCTTCCTCAGAGTTGTGATATCCACATCCGGAAGCAAAAGTCTGACATGGCATGTAAATAATGTTGCTTGTCTGGAGGCGTGTTTCTCCTCTTTGGTAGCATAGATTTACAAGGTAACATTTAGAGATACAACACTGGCTAATGACGCTATCAGTGAGGGAAAGATTATGAATATTTAAGAGTAAAGATGTAGGGGATATCTGTATCTTGGATAAAAGATCCAGCAATCCATGTTAAATTCAGTTAGTTGCTGCTTTTTTGCGAAGGAAAAGTGAGAGAATGCTAATCTTGATTGTAAATAATGAAGAAATATGTGTGGATAGACATGCTCCAAAATGGAATGATTATAGTCAGTTTCCTTTTGACATAGGCTTTACATTATGTGGAAGTATTGATAATATGCACATCGTGAAGGGTTGGGCTTGATAAGGTACTTTGGTATTCATTCAGTTTTGTCTAATTTCTGGCGTTTCCCTGCGATTAAACTTGAAAATGATTCCTCAGGACTTATGGTGTTTGACTGCTGGCTTCTTGAGGGAATAGCTTGAAGCGGTTCTAGCATGAATTATTTAGAGTGAGGGTTGCCAAGGAACAATACTAAGGTTAAGGTTTGCTCACTTTAAATCTAGAATCACACGACAGAAGTGGCGGTGGGCTTCGTAGCACTCGGACTCAGCACCAGACTCTGGACGATGTCTTCACGGTTGATCTTGCGCAGCGCCGTGCACAGCGAGTCGAGGCTGGCGCACTCCTTGCTCGCCCAATCAGACAGGAGCGCGCGGACGGGATGCTCCTCCTGCTGGAAGGTGGCAATCCGCTCCTCCTCGTACCCCAGGAGGCCCGCCAGGTTGCACCAGTCGCTGTCCTCCATGTGGTTGCAATCGTCTCCTTCGCTGCCACTGAATAGCAGCTTCTCCACCTTCTCTCTGGTGTGGAGAGGAAGGAACAAACACGGCTCTTCATCCATGTTGACAACTGCAGAGGAAACAAACAAGGTTTGAATTTCTTTTATTTAAAATAAATCCCTACAAAATGCTCTCTGATTGACTATTAGAGCACTGAAACAATTCTACATCCTGATTTTAAATTCCCAAGTTGGTCGCAATTATATGAAAAGGAAAAAGTGATTGAGTGTAGAATACAAGTGGTAAAAAAAAAGCCCTTGCTAGCTACATAAGCAGCAATAGCCGATCTGACTGACCAGTTCCATTAATACATCATTATAGAAAATCCAAGTAAAATATGCTTCTTTGTCCAAACTGTCAACAGCAAAGATCGCTTAAGACCTGTTACGATTATTGTGTTATGTCACGTTTTGTATGTCTGGTTATGGGTGTTTTCCTCCTTGTATATTGTCTGGTCCTTCTCCCTGTGTTTTTCCCCTGTCGTTCGTTTCCCTGGTGTGTCTAATTGTCTGATTGTGTTCACCTGTCGCCCTTGTGTTTCTCCTCCCCTGCCCAGCTGTTTCTCGTCTTGTGATTACCCCTCCCTGTATTT